ACAGACCCCCGAGGCGCCCTCTCTGCCGGGGCCCCGCGGCATGGAGGCCGCCTCACCCCCGCTGATGAGCGGCCGGCGTCCAGGGGCAGCACTGGCCCTGTCCCTCCACCGCACCTGCTCCGCTGCCCTGGCCCCTCCCTGAGGTGAGACTTCGTACTGACCCCACAGAAGACGTGACGCCTGTCAGAGCCACATCCCAAGTCACTTCAGTTGTGTGATTAAAAAGAGAGAGAGATCGGTGGCAGACACACCGCTTAAGGCACACAGAGGATGTGTGTGTAACCGGACACACAGCGGCAAGGCTGGGCAAGACAGGGGTGTGACAATGCGCTAAAGTAAATCGTGACATGTGCCATCCACAGTGTTGCCTGGTGCTCACCCGACAGCGTGAGAAGGAACGTAACCTGTTCCCTCCCAGGGGCCGGGGCCAGGGCCAGGGCGCGATGCTAATGGGCCCAGGTTCTCCCTGGAATGGAGAAATGTTCTAAAATCAGGCCGTGGTGGCGGCTGCCCAGGGCTGTTACTATACTGAAAAAACCCACTGAATTGTACATCACTTAAAAGGGTGAATATTATGCTCAGGTGCACCTCAAAAAAGCTGTAATAAAAAACCCTTATAACAACAGAGGACTGGCTGGCTGCCTGGCACACAGTAAGGGCACCTCCAAGAACTGGGAACTAAATTCATGTACAATCCGACCCTACTGTGCACAGGAACCAAACCCAGAACTCTACCCCGCACGAGTCCTTGTGTGTGGCCTGCCAACCGCAGGACGGCCCCTCTGGGAGAGGAGAGCGGGCGTGTGCAGGTGAGGCTGGAGTGCCTTCATGCACTATGTACATCCACACTAAAGCAGGTGGACACAGAGTCAAAGACAACTTCCCGGTCCACTGCAGCCGGGGCTCACCGGCACGCTCCTCCGCTGGTCGGCCTCCCCGCTCTCATCTTCCGAGTCACTGGCTGAGTCCTGGCAGCTCGCACTGGCAGGTGCGACCGGCAACTGGGAAAGGAAGGTCTGGAGCACACGCAGGTACAGCAGCAGCCCTTCCTCAGAGAGGGTCCCTGCGTGAGACAACCAGCGGTAACGTTCAATCAGGACGACCCAAGAGAAACAGAAAGGAGCACTTTCCTTACACTCAGGGGGTGCTGACCAAAAGTCACTGAAGCTCTAACGCTTGTGTGGACGTGTCAAAGCGTGTCGGACAAAGAGGCTAGAAGCTCGAACATTACAATTTAGCATAAATGGGAGGCACCCTGCACACATCCCTGTTCTCCCACTCGATGCTGACATCCTGCTACCATGTGGCCCGTCAGGTGTCTAAGCCTGACATCTGTGCCGTGCCCGGAACCTCCCCAGGGACAGGGACGCTGTCCTGACAGTCCTACAGCCAGTGCGCCCTCCCAAGAAGCTTCACTGCAGAGGCCACGCCAGCAGTGACCCTGCCCGGCACCGCCCTCTCCCGACCCACCTGCCAGCACCACCTACGCGTGAGCTCAGGTGAAATGCAGCTGCTATTCGTACCCAGATAATTTTCACCAACAGTTAAGACGAAGTAGAAGAGCCATGGCGCGTGCCCCCTGTTCCTGGAGGCCCCACTCTCCACCGACAGCAGTGCATCCAGGAAGGGCTCGAAAGGGAACGTGGCCTGGGCGTCCGCCAGCGCGGGGATGAGGAACTGGAACACCTGGTCGGTGAGAGGAGCCGCCAAGCACTCCCCCGTGAAGGCCGCGAACACCTGCCGCCTGAGAAGGAAAAGCGCGGCTTACAGAAACCACAGCACACCATTCCCAAAACCCACGGTCAAACCACCCTCCACACTAATCAGAGCTAAGCACTCGATACCCACGGGCTGCCCAGGAAGGAACCCCTCGCTGTGTCTTCTCTGCTAAAAAACCTGCAGTGACTGTATCTTTGGAAGCTGCCAGAAAGCGGGAAACACCCAGGTCTTCAGAATTATAAGTTTATGTTAGGGTCCAGGCCACACAGAAAGTAATTTTCCTTTAAACCAATCACGTGAGTAATGAAGACTCGGACTTTCAAGTCTATTATTTAAGATAGCACCCTGTGTCAGAGTTACTGGTAGACTCAGATCTCGTGAAATTACGAAATAAACTACCCTGCTCTTACCTGGCGCCTTCAGGGCAGGAGTTGTAGGTAAAGTGCAACGGTTTCAGGACATTGTCTAACAAAGTTTTCGCTATAGGAACTCGAGATAAATCAGAATACTCAATACTTGATGGAAGCTTGCTGTTAATTAACAAATAGAGAGCTCTATAATACCCTAAAAGAAAGGAAAAAGACCTTCAAAATGTGGTACCTTTTCTTATATGAGGAAAAAAATGTCAGTTTTAAAATGCTTTTTATAAAACTCATCTGTCCAAACTTAAGTGAACTCTTCAACATTTTATTAAGGAAAGCTTTATAAACAAATACGAAAGTCGCCTGAAAGGTATATAAACTCCATGCACCCAGCACCTAAATGACGGCCACAGCCGCCCCCTAGCCCCACCCATCGGAAGCAAGTCCAAGACACAACCGCTTCCCTGCGCTGTCCAAGACGAGGGCTTCATCTTTCTCAAAAACACCACTATCGCAGCTAAAAGAGATCAATAGCAATTCCTTAATATCACAAATACCTAGTCAGTGTTCAACTGCCTCACGTTACACATTTTACTTAACTAGTTTGCTTGAATCAGGATCCACATAAGGCCCACATAACGGGATTTTAAAAATCTATCTCTAAAGCATGTTCCAAGGACCTTGCTGACTCCCGGTGTAAACACACGGACGTGTTTCCACCCACTGCGCTGTCCTCGCTGACACTCAGACTGTCCTCTCTCCGGCCAATGGAGTGACTCTGGGGGGCTCCTGGGACCCAGTGGTCACCAGGGGCATCTCTCCTTTCACTCATCCAGTCTCACCTTGTCGTCTCCTCACTGGGACCTGGGTCGGCCTTGTCTCCAGGACTTAAGTCCTTTAGAGGAACCTGTATCTCTTTGGGTCACAGACGGGCACCGAGGACTCAACTGTTTAGAGGCAGAAGCAACGACGCCCACGGCCTGCCTGAGCAGTCGGTGGGAGTCCTGGTGGAGTCCCAATGACTCAGATCACACAGCCTTTTAGACACGCCTGCCCTTCCTCGGACAGGCGCAGCCTGTGGCCGCCTCACTGCCGCACAGACACACGGGTGCGCCTGAGAAACAGCCACTGCTCCGGCTTGGAAAGCAGCCCGTCCAGCTGTGCACCTGGGTCGTGCTCACTAAGCAGTGACCCCTCAGCGCTCTATCCTCAGACCCACTGTGCCAACCTCACGGACAGTGACGACCAGTGAAACCCAACAAGGGAGCTCCAGAGCTTTTCTGCTGTAAAACTAAGAAGATGCCAACACAGTAAGAACGAAACGTGTGCTGCTATACTGAGGACACACTGAGGGTCACGGCAGGAGCACCCACGAGGTGCACGCAGCTGATCTGCTGGAGCACGACACTGCCCGGCTCAGCAGCAGCCCCATGCGATGTCAGCACACGAGGGCGGAAACCGTGCGGCTAACCCTGGAGCTGTAACAAACAGGCTGGGGTGCCAGGGAGCAGTCTAGCGACACAGCTGGGGGCCGTGCGTGGGGATGGAGGCAGCGGCTTCAGTGCCTGGCTCTGGAGCATTTCCAACCTCTACACATTTCAAGCCAGGGCGTGTTTAGTTACCTTTACACTTAGAAATGAGAAAAGTAAACATTCTAACTGAATGCTTAGCTTTAAATCAATATACTTGGTACATCAATAAATACAATGGACCATTTCTAATGATCACTAATTTGTTTTAAAAAATCAAATTTCAATTTACTTTTAATTAATTCCCCAACCTTTCAGCAAACTAAGTAGGGTTCCTTTTTTTTTAAAAAAACCTAAGCCAAACAGCAAGGTTGGGGTGTATAAGAGTTTCATGTTTACAGTTTTAACCCTGAGGATTTAATTAGTAGATTTAACTTAGATTACCCTATCACTTCAAGCAAACAAAAGTGAACTTACTTAAGCTTTTGTCAGCAACCACTGCTTCCCAGAAGTACCACAGCTCGTCTTACAACTAAGAACATGTATTTTTAATGCTTACTACACTCTGTAGTACAAGCCCTGAAGTATTTGACTTTCTACCTGGGAATCAGATTTAAAATTTTTTGTTTTATTTCATATTGTTTAATTCATCATTAAACTCTTAAAATCATAGGCATTTCATAGTCTTTCTCCAAAACGGCGTCACCGGTGTGTCATCAGCGCCCTCATCTTAGGAAGAGGGTCCTTGCATAACAGCTTTAACGGTGGGCTGGGAGAAAACCCAAGTAAACCAGTGTCTTCCTCTCCTCTGTGAACCGAGGTGATGGTATATCTCCTCCCGCCCGGTGCCACCCAGTCACGGAGGGCTGGCGGCTGCACCGCAGACAGCAGGACCAGCGTGCCGGGGCCATGGCTGGCAGCAAACTTACACTAACCCGCCTCCTTCACAAGCGAAGGGACAACGTAAGTGCAGAGACCAAATACTAGGCCAGGTGGATAGGAGGATGGATATCAGGGTGTGCGGCCCCAGCAGGCACCCCGGCTGAGCACACGCTTCTGTGCCAAGTCCCATGCACTGCTCAGAGAAAGTGTGGGAACCGCACCCTCACCCAGGCCAGCCCGCCCCGCCCACCACTCACCATTCTGAACCATGTAGTGCAAAACTTGCTCAACCACTGACACCACGTAGCTAGCATCTGGTAAAACAGACGAGTAAGTCTTCTCGGATGAAAACACCTCAAGCATTCTCATGGGAAGTGCAACATTCAAACTGTCATCGTTACAGCTTTGCAGCAGCCTGTAAAAACGAAAGAGTGTTCACACGCTTACTGGGTGGCAAACGTCGCCCAGTTTCCTCCAATCACTGTCACTCAGCACAGTGAGCGTTCGAGCCCCTCAGCCTGGGACTGGAACATCTCTGAAAACGGGCCCCACTCAGTCAGACAGGAGCATAACCAAACTTACCGTCGTTCGCACTTTATGAGTCCTAATTTATTACCTGTGCCACACAGCACGTTGGCACTGGGTTTACAGAGACGACAAGCACACAACCACTAGGAAAGAGACAGACGGGAAGCGCGAGGACCACGGGCGCAGCGTGAGAGCCGCTGTGGGCGCCCCTAATGCCGAGCAGAGAGGGCCTCTCCTCTTAGATGCTCCATCCCTGCAATGCCCCCTGCAGGGAAGTTAACATATATTTTTGGCCCTAAGTTATTATTATCTTGACTAAAGAGAATTCTATGAAAGTGACAGGCAAAAAGGAAGGCTTTGCTGTCACATAATTAAGTCTCATTTAAATCAACTTTCCACAGACAGAATTTACACACATCAATGTACAGACACAGAAGCAGGCGCTGGGATGAGTCCTGACGGACTCCTCTGGGCCCCTCACGTCAATCCCTCCCTCCAACTCCCACCAACCAACTCTGCCTACAGACCAGCCTGCATTTTCTACTAGTTTATACAGAAGGAGTCGTACGGGGTGGACACGTTCACGTCTGGGTTCTTTCTCAGATTCGTCTCAAGTGTTAAAACCTGGTCTTCCTCCCGGCCGTGCCCACTGCACGGACCAGCTGCAGGACCTGCGCACGTGCTGCTGGCACCTGGCCACTGGCTGCTGGCTGCCGCAAGTGAGGCTGCTGCGAAGAGGCAGGACGGGCCTCTGTGGGAACCTACGTTCCACGTCTCCCAGGGAACTCCTGGGTGTGGAGCCGCTGGGTCCCACGGGGCAACACTTAGCTTCACAAGGAACCACCAAGCCCGGGACAGCCTCCTGGTTTCACGCTGACCATCTCAGCCACTCTAAGGGGTGTGGCTAAACTTCAGTGGGGCCTGAATTTGTATTTCCCTGGTTGCTCATGGTGAGACCATCTTCTCAAGAGTCTACTGGTCACTCGTGTCTCCTTTCGAAGGTGCTCAACCTTTTACCTGGGTTGTTTCTTCAAAATAGGAGTGCACTGCCCTTGCCCCTATCCAAGGCCAAGCCCTGGGCCCTCCCCCTGCTCCTGGGGGCCCCTCACACAGAGACGGGGCTCCAGCACCCCGGTGTCCGCTCATACTGGGCCACCCACAAGCACACATCAATTTTCCCACTTACAGATCATCTGTAGGCCTCACTGCTTCCCGAGTTCAGCTCCACCGCCGCTCCCTCTGCGGGACTCCCCATCACCCACATCCCCCCTGCCCCCGGCACTCACTCCCTAACACTCACCTCACCTGCGTAAAGACATTCCCCTTTCACTCACTGACGCTGCTCTCAGTCTCCGAGACAGCTGTCAGCTCCAGGAGGGCATCACCCTCCTCTGCCTGTCAACCCCGGGACTGAGGACAGCGTCCAGCACACAGCGGGAGCCACGCAGTTCCCTAATCAATGAAGAAACTAAAAGCCGACCCATGTTGTGAATGTAGGCTCACCTACGAAGAGATGCCAGTAACACCAATATCCACTAGCCTCTAAAAGTTACCTTTATTTTCAAAATAAGGATTTAAGCAGGTAAGTGGTGTGTGCAATGCCAGTGGCAAATACAAACGCCCCGAAAGTGCATACTCCAAGAGCTGCGCCAATGCCAGCCCCACCCTGCCCGCAGTGCAGAGATCTGACTTCCAGGCCGACTCCTGGAACATGCAGTGCTCAGGAAGAGGAAACAGGACGCTCGAGGACCAAGGTGACCGGAGACCAGCCTTAGGGTTAGCCACCAGGCCAGCTGGCGAGCAGGGCACTGAACTATTGGACGAGAAGGACCGCCTTGCCCGCACCCCTCCCTTTATGATGACGGAGCACGAGACCCTGTACCCCACACCCAGCCCGCTGGCTCCCCAGAGGCAGCGAGTGCTTGCAGCCCCAGCCCTGGCCTCGGCCTCAACACAGCACCGCCCAGTTCCGCTTATCCTAATGTGACGTAGCACCAACTCCCATGCTATCCAGGAATTCATGTATCTCATACACAGTGAGGCACAGGACCTCGCAAACAGAGCTCTCCTTTCCTCGCTCTGACAGTGACCTTAAGCTCCCAAGAGAGGGGAGCTCCTCAAGAGCGGAGGCAGCACACGCCCTCTCCCTGGGACCCCAGAGCACCTAATGCCCCACGTCCGTGTGCAGGCAAGGCTACTGGCTTGTTAATACTGCACACCGGAAATAAACCTGCTAATTTCACCTTGGTCAAGCTTCATGCCTCATCAACACAGCCAGGTTCTTCCGAGGAAAGAGCCCTGGGCCTGGGCTTCCTGGGGAGGACAAGCCGAGCCCAAGACAAGTGTGGTCACAGAAAGCAAAGATGCTCCCAAAACAAGCTTGGGGCTGCGCCAATAGGACCCAGAGCTCCTTGCAGGGCTCCCTCTGCCTTAACATCACCATCAGAAAGGTAACTGTCTGTCACATGCTGTATTTTTAAATACACGAGGCCTTACTGAGACTAGAGGGGAAAGGCACAAATACTGCCAACTAACAAACCCTGATGAAAAACAGAACGCAGAAAACCGTTTTATAGCCACGGATGTTACAATGGACTCAGGTACAGATCATCGCCATATGCCACACCCACAGGGGGAAGGTGGTGTTGCCATGAGGCCAAGCACCAGCCCGGACCCCACTTCCACAGGAGAGTGGTTTCTGCTCCCAGCAGCCTAGTAATCCCAGGATACCCCCCGGAGTGTGTCTCGGGGTGCTACGCTGCAACTCACACACCTGCCGTGACACGCTCTTAACAGTGTCTACACTGAACCAAGCACTGGCTCTCACCAGGGAGCCACCTGGCAGTGTCTGAGACAAGCCTGGTTGGGCGAAGGGGGGGCCGCACCACCACCACCTTGTGGGTAATGGACAAAGGGCAGGAAGCTGCCCATTTCCCTGCAAGGCAGAGGACTGTGCTCACAACAGAGATGTTCTGGCCCCAAAGGTGCATGGGACAGGCCAAGACCTCTGATGCGAGACCAGTCACACCACATTCACGCACACTGCCAACTTCAGGGGTGTTTACCTGCAACAGAGGCTCATCAACCTCTTTATCTGATATAAGCATGTAAGCCTGTCAGGTCCATCCAACTGCTGGACAAACAGAGAGCTGTGTTTAATTAGGTTCTGATACATCCATATCTGAAACAGCAAAACACACAAATTACAACTCAACCACAGAGCTAGTTGTTCACCAACCACCAACATTTCAAATCCCTCTGGCAGCAAACACATAACCAACACTGATCGGACGTGGTGAGAAGTGAACCCTCGGGGCAGGTTTACCGAGCAGTATACACACACTGCCAACTGTTCCCCTTAAAATGGCACGTCATGCCTTGGCCGGTGTTGCTCAGCGGTTAAAGCGTTGGCCCGTGCACCAAAGGGTCACAGGTTCGATTTCCGGTCAAGGGCAAGTACCTGGGTTGTGGGGTCGCGCCCTGCCCCAGTCAGGGGGTGAGCAGGAGGCAGCCCATCAATGACTCTCATCACTGATGTTTCTCTCTCTCTCCCTCCCCCTTCCTCTCTCTGAAATCAGTAAAGACACACATAAAAAAAATAAAATGTGTGTCGATCTTTAGGAGGTAAAACACGTTACCACAAAGGGGCCCCACGCCAGCTGGCCGAGGGAAAGGTCACAGGGCGAGTCACTGGAGGGGCTGTTGACCACGTTTTAAAAGCCTGGGATCAGGTAAACACTGACACGTGAAGATGCAGGTAACACTCACCAAACGCTTTGAGTCTTCATTCTGTTTGTAAAAAAACAGAAGCTGCCTCACCAACAGGGTGAGGTTGGGACCACTGGCAACAGGAAAAGTGCCCCCAGACTGAGAGGAGCTGGCCCCGCGGTCAAACGCAGCTCTCTGGATGCAATACTGAAAGCAAAACAGCGCACGCATCAGGACACAGCTGTGACTTGCGGTCCAAGTGGGCATGAAATGTTCCCACAGGAGGGGAGAAACCGACAGCCGTGAGTTACCGGCCGCAGGTTAAGGGAAACCCAGACGCCCAGGATGTAACACCCGCTAAGAGCCTCCTGCCACTCACCCTCTACTGACATCTTTACCTGTGGTCCGGCCTGCTTGTATTTTACTATTTAAAAAACCCTCACCTACCTACAGGTCTTTACGTAAATCTAAACTAATAAAGTTAGTTATTGGGGGAAATACTATTACCAACGCTAATGCTCATTACACAGGTATACAAAACTATACACAACACGGGTTCCACGCCCAGGAATCCAAGCTCGCTGTTTGAAATAAGCTCTCACATGCCTTCCCGGCTCTCCTCGGGTTATGGACAGACTTACTTGCTGTTTCCTGTCTCGATGGCCTCGAATAAATGACTGAATAATTATTGCGTTTTTCAGTCTTCGCCTTTCTTCCTGAATAGAGGAGGAAGGAGGGAGCGACCAGTCAGATCCGTGAAAACGACACTTGGTAAGACTTCAAAACCACAGCCGCGTAACTCACATACACACAGTTCACTCTTCTAAGTACACCACCAGCAACTCTTAATGTACTGAAATGTGTGTGACCATCGCCACTACTGACGTTTAGACCACGCCCACCACCCACGCCCCAACACCAGGGCACCCATCAGCAGTCGCCCTCTTCCCGCCCGCCCGCCTCTCACGGCCCTGGTGGCCGCCTGAATTTCCCGTCTGTATGAAACTGCCTATCTGCCACTTCCTGGACTGGAATCTCAGACTGTGGGGCTTTTTATGTTGGCTCTTTTCACTTAGTGTGACATTTTTAAGGTTCACCCCCAGTGTATCACACATCAGGGTCACGTCCTTGTTTCAAAGGGGGAAAACTCCAATTTTTATTGGCTCGAGACCGTCCTCAGTGACCTAGAGAAAATATGTCCTCTTCACCATCATTTAAACACTGCAGGTGCACGTCCGAGAGGCGCACTGCATGCCGGCCCAGGAGACCCTTCACGTGCAGCTGGACAAGAGCCTGCCGGGTGAGAACTGCGCTTGTTTTAAAGATGCAGAAACTGAGGTTTCCATAAAGATTAAACTGCTGAAAAATTAAGAGAGTCGGGATTCAGACAGGGTGGCACTGAGATGGGCACCCGTCCCCTGCGTGGCACTGCTGCACGCCCTCTGCGAGGGCCTCCTAGCCCGCAGACTGCCGTCTGCCCGTCTCTCCTACACTGGCATCAGGACAAAGGCCTCCCTGTAAACTCCAACAAACCCAGGAGACGTTCCAGGCTCCATATACGCACACAAACAGACACGTATTCCACCACACTGAACACACACACCTCTCTGCGACACAGGACAGCCCAGATTACTAAGCGGGGTGGGAAATGCTTATCTACGGACTATCACAAGCCTGTCTTTACCTCTCTCTTTCTTCTTTCTTCCTGAGTACGATGTAAGAGAGAAGCCTTTTCCTCCTAAACACAAAGAAAGACAAAAATTATAGAACGTTTTGACCCAAAGAGGCTTCTACAGATCATCCAGTCAAACGACCTGACTCAGTGAGAAGCCTGACGCACGACAGGTTAAATGGCCCNCTGGGGGGCTCCTGGGACCCAGTGGTCACCAGGGGCATCTCTCCTTTCACTCATCCAGTCTCACCTTGTCGTCTCCTCACTGGGACCTGGGTCGGCCTTGTCTCCAGGACTTAAGTCCTTTAGAGGAACCTGTATCTCTTTGGGTCACAGACGGGCACCGAGGACTCAACTGTTTAGAGGCAGAAGCAACGACGCCCACGGCCTGCCTGAGCAGTCGGTGGGAGTCCTGGTGGAGTCCCAATGACTCAGATCACACAGCCTTTTAGACACGCCTGCCCTTCCTCGGACAGGCGCAGCCTGTGGCCGCCTCACTGCCGCACAGACACACGGGTGCGCCTGAGAAACAGCCACTGCTCCGGCTTGGAAAGCAGCCCGTCCAGCTGTGCACCTGGGTCGTGCTCACTAAGCAGTGACCCCTCAGCGCTCTATCCTCAGACCCACTGTGCCAACCTCACGGACAGTGACGACCAGTGAAACCCAACAAGGGAGCTCCAGAGCTTTTCTGCTGTAAAACTAAGAAGATGCCAACACAGTAAGAACGAAACGTGTGCTGCTATACTGAGGACACACTGAGGGTCACGGCAGGAGCACCCACGAGGTGCACGCAGCTGATCTGCTGGAGCACGACACTGCCCGGCTCAGCAGCAGCCCCATGCGATGTCAGCACACGAGGGCGGAAACCGTGCGGCTAACCCTGGAGCTGTAACAAACAGGCTGGGGTGCCAGGGAGCAGTCTAGCGACACAGCTGGGGGCCGTGCGTGGGGATGGAGGCAGCGGCTTCAGTGCCTGGCTCTGGAGCATTTCCAACCTCTACACATTTCAAGCCAGGGCGTGTTTAGTTACCTTTACACTTAGAAATGAGAAAAGTAAACATTCTAACTGAATGCTTAGCTTTAAATCAATATACTTGGTACATCAATAAATACAATGGACCATTTCTAATGATCACTAATTTGTTTTAAAAAATCAAATTTCAATTTACTTTTAATTAATTCCCCAACCTTTCAGCAAACTAAGTAGGGTTCCTTTTTTTTTAAAAAAACCTAAGCCAAACAGCAAGGTTGGGGTGTATAAGAGTTTCATGTTTACAGTTTTAACCCTGAGGATTTAATTAGTAGATTTAACTTAGATTACCCTATCACTTCAAGCAAACAAAAGTGAACTTACTTAAGCTTTTGTCAGCAACCACTGCTTCCCAGAAGTACCACAGCTCGTCTTACAACTAAGAACATGTATTTTTAATGCTTACTACACTCTGTAGTACAAGCCCTGAAGTATTTGACTTTCTACCTGGGAATCAGATTTAAAATTTTTTGTTTTATTTCATATTGTTTAATTCATCATTAAACTCTTAAAATCATAGGCATTTCATAGTCTTTCTCCAAAACGGCGTCACCGGTGTGTCATCAGCGCCCTCATCTTAGGAAGAGGGTCCTTGCATAACAGCTTTAACGGTGGGCTGGGAGAAAACCCAAGTAAACCAGTGTCTTCCTCTCCTCTGTGAACCGAGGTGATGGTATATCTCCTCCCGCCCGGTGCCACCCAGTCACGGAGGGCTGGCGGCTGCACCGCAGACAGCAGGACCAGCGTGCCGGGGCCATGGCTGGCAGCAAACTTACACTAACCCGCCTCCTTCACAAGCGAAGGGACAACGTAAGTGCAGAGACCAAATACTAGGCCAGGTGGATAGGAGGATGGATATCAGGGTGTGCGGCCCCAGCAGGCACCCCGGCTGAGCACACGCTTCTGTGCCAAGTCCCATGCACTGCTCAGAGAAAGTGTGGGAACCGCACCCTCACCCAGGCCAGCCCGCCCCGCCCACCACTCACCATTCTGAACCATGTAGTGCAAAACTTGCTCAACCACTGACACCACGTAGCTAGCATCTGGTAAAACAGACGAGTAAGTCTTCTCGGATGAAAACACCTCAAGCATTCTCATGGGAAGTGCAACATTCAAACTGTCATCGTTACAGCTTTGCAGCAGCCTGTAAAAACGAAAGAGTGTTCACACGCTTACTGGGTGGCAAACGTCGCCCAGTTTCCTCCAATCACTGTCACTCAGCACAGTGAGCGTTCGAGCCCCTCAGCCTGGGACTGGAACATCTCTGAAAACGGGCCCCACTCAGTCAGACAGGAGCATAACCAAACTTACCGTCGTTCGCACTTTATGAGTCCTAATTTATTACCTGTGCCACACAGCACGTTGGCACTGGGTTTACAGAGACGACAAGCACACAACCACTAGGAAAGAGACAGACGGGAAGCGCGAGGACCACGGGCGCAGCGTGAGAGCCGCTGTGGGCGCCCCTAATGCCGAGCAGAGAGGGCCTCTCCTCTTAGATGCTCCATCCCTGCAATGCCCCCTGCAGGGAAGTTAACATATATTTTTGGCCCTAAGTTATTATTATCTTGACTAAAGAGAATTCTATGAAAGTGACAGGCAAAAAGGAAGGCTTTGCTGTCACATAATTAAGTCTCATTTAAATCAACTTTCCACAGACAGAATTTACACACATCAATGTACAGACACAGAAGCAGGCGCTGGGATGAGTCCTGACGGACTCCTCTGGGCCCCTCACGTCAATCCCTCCCTCCAACTCCCACCAACCAACTCTGCCTACAGACCAGCCTGCATTTTCTACTAGTTTATACAGAAGGAGTCGTACGGGGTGGACACGTTCACGTCTGGGTTCTTTCTCAGATTCGTCTCAAGTGTTAAAACCTGGTCTTCCTCCCGGCCGTGCCCACTGCACGGACCAGCTGCAGGACCTGCGCACGTGCTGCTGGCACCTGGCCACTGGCTGCTGGCTGCCGCAAGTGAGGCTGCTGCGAAGAGGCAGGACGGGCCTCTGTGGGAACCTACGTTCCACGTCTCCCAGGGAACTCCTGGGTGTGGAGCCGCTGGGTCCCACGGGGCAACACTTAGCTTCACAAGGAACCACCAAGCCCGGGACAGCCTCCTGGTTTCACGCTGACCATCTCAGCCACTCTAAGGGGTGTGGCTAAACTTCAGTGGGGCCTGAATTTGTATTTCCCTGGTTGCTCATGGTGAGACCATCTTCTCAAGAGTCTACTGGTCACTCGTGTCTCCTTTCGAAGGTGCTCAACCTTTTACCTGGGTTGTTTCTTCAAAATAGGAGTGCACTGCCCTTGCCCCTATCCAAGGCCAAGCCCTGGGCCCTCCCCCTGCTCCTGGGGGCCCCTCACACAGAGACGGGGCTCCAGCACCCCGGTGTCCGCTCATACTGGGCCACCCACAAGCACACATCAATTTTCCCACTTACAGATCATCTGTAGGCCTCACTGCTTCCCGAGTTCAGCTCCACCGCCGCTCCCTCTGCGGGACTCCCCATCACCCACATCCCCCCTGCCCCCGGCACTCACTCCCTAACACTCACCTCACCTGCGTAAAGACATTCCCCTTTCACTCACTGACGCTGCTCTCAGTCTCCGAGACAGCTGTCAGCTCCAGGAGGGCATCACCCTCCTCTGCCTGTCAACCCCGGGACTGAGGACAGCGTCCAGCACACAGCGGGAGCCACGCAGTTCCCTAATCAATGAAGAAACTAAAAGCCGACCCATGTTGTGAATGTAGGCTCACCTACGAAGAGATGCCAGTAACACCAATATCCACTAGCCTCTAAAAGTTACCTTTATTTTCAAAATAAGGATTTAAGCAGGTAAGTGGTGTGTGCAATGCCAGTGGCAAATACAAACGCCCCGAAAGTGCATACTCCAAGAGCTGCGCCAATGCCAGCCCCACCCTGCCCGCAGTGCAGAGATCTGACTTCCAGGCCGACTCCTGGAACATGCAGTGCTCAGGAAGAGGAAACAGGACGCTCGAGGACCAAGGTGACCGGAGACCAGCCTTAGGGTTAGCCACCAGGCCAGCTGGCGAGCAGGGCACTGAACTATTGGACGAGAAGGACCGCCTTGCCCGCACCCCTCCCTTTATGATGACGGAGCACGAGACCCTGTACCCCACACCCAGCCCGCTGGCTCCCCAGAGGCAGCGAGTGCTTGCAGCCCCAGCCCTGGCCTCGGCCTCAACACAGCACCGCCCAGTTCCGCTTATCCTAATGTGACGTAGCACCAACTCCCATGCTATCCAGGAATTCATGTATCTCATACACAGTGAGGCACAGGACCTCGCAAACAGAGCTCTCCTTTCCTCGCTCTGACAGTGACCTTAAGCTCCCAAGAGAGGGGAGCTCCTCAAGAGCGGAGGCAGCACACGCCCTCTCCCTGGGACCCCAGAGCACCTAATGCCCCACGTCCGTGTGCAGGCAAGGCTACTGGCTTGTTAATACTGCACACCGGAAATAAACCTGCTAATTTCACCTTGGTCAAGCTTCATGCCTCATCAACACAGCCAGGTTCTTCCGAGGAAAGAGCCCTGGGCCTGGGCTTCCTGGGGAGGACAAGCCGAGCCCAAGACAAGTGTGGTCACAGAAAGCAAAGATGCTCCCAAAACAAGCTTGGGGCTGCGCCAATAGGACCCAGAGCTCCTTGCAGGGCTCCCTCTGCCTTAACATCACCATCAGAAAGGTAACTGTCTGTCACATGCTGTATTTTTAAATACACGAGGCCTTACTGAGACTAGAGGGGAAAGGCACAAATACTGCCAACTAACAAACCCTGATGAAAAACAGAACGCAGAAAACCGTTTTATAGCCACGGATGTTACAATGGACTCAGGTACAGATCATCGCCATATGCCACACCCACAGGGGGAAGGTGGTGTTGCCATGAGGCCAAGCACCAGCCCGGACCCCACTTCCACAGGAGAGTGGTTTCTGCTCCCAGCAGCCTAGTAATCCCAGGATACCCCCCGGAGTGTGTCTCGGGGTGCTACGCTGCAACTCACACACCTGCCGTGACACGCTCTTAACAGTGTCTACACTGAACCAAGCACTGGCTCTCACCAGGGAGCCACCTGGCAGTGTCTGAGACAAGCCTGGTTGGGCGAAGGGGGGGCCGCACCACCACCACCTTGTGGGTAATGGACAAAGGGCAGGAAGCTGCCCATTTCCCTGCAAGGCAGAGGACTGTGCTCACAACAGAGATGTTCTGGCCCCAAAGGTGCATGGGACAGGCCAAGACCTCTGATGCGAGACCAGTCACACCACATTCACGCACACTGCCAACTTCAGGGGTGTTTACCTGCAACAGAGGCTCATCAACCTCTTTATCTGATATAAGCATGTAAGCCTGTCAGGTCCATCCAACTGCTGGACAAACAGAGAGCTGTGTTTAATTAGGTTCTGATACATCCATATCTGAAACAGCAAAACACACAAATTACAACTCAACCACAGAGCTAGTTGTTCACCAACCACCAACATTTCAAATCCCTCTGGCAGCAAACACATAACCAACACTGATCGGACGTGGTGAGAAGTGAACCCTCGGGGCAGGTTTACCGAGCAGTATACACACACTGCCAACTGTTCCCCTTAAAATGGCACGTCATGCCTTGGCCGGTGTTGCTCAGCGGTTAAAGCGTTGGCCCGTGCACCAAAGGGTCACAGGTTCGATTTCCGGTCAAGGGCAAGTACCTGGGTTGTGGGGTCGCGCCCTGCCCCAGTCAGGGGGTGAGCAGGAGGCAGCCCATCAATGACTCTCATCACTGATGTTTCTCTCTCTCTCCCTCCCCCTTCCTCTCTCTGAAATCAGTAAAGACACACATAAAAAAAATAAAATGTGTGTCGATCTTTAGGAGGTAAAACACGTTACCACAAAGGGGCCCCACGCCAGCTGGCCGAGGGAAAGGTCACAGGGCGAGTCACTGGAGGGGCTGTTGACCACGTTTTAAAAGCCTGGGATCAGGTAAACACTGACACGTGAAGATGCAGGTAACACTCACCAAACGCTTTGAGTCTTCATTCTGTTTGTAAAAAAACAGAAGCTGCCTCACCAACAGGGTGAGGTTGGGACCACTGGCAACAGGAAAAGTGCCCCCAGACTGAGAGGAGCTGGCCCCGCGGTCAAACGCAGCTCTCTGGATGCAATACTGAAAGCAAAACAGCGCACGCATCAGGACACAGCTGTGACTTGCGGTCCAAGTGGGCATGAAATGTTCCCACAGGAGGGGAGAAACCGACAGCCGTGAGTTACCGGCCGCAGGTTAAGGGAAACCCAGACGCCCAGGATGTAACACCCGCTAAGAGCCTCCTGCCACTCACCCTCTACTGACATCTTTACCTGTGGTCCGGCCTGCTTGTATTTTACTATTTAAAAAACCCTCACCTACCTACAGGTCTTTACGTAAATCTAAACTAATAAAGTTAGTTATTGGGGGAAATACTATTACCAACGCTAATGCTCATTACACAGGTATACAAAACTATACACAACACGGGTTCCACGCCCAGGAATCCAAGCTCGCTGTTTGAAATAAGCTCTCACATGCCTTCCCGGCTCTCCTCGGGTTATGGACAGACTTACTTGCTGTTTCCTGTCTCGATGGCCTCGAATAAATGACTGAATAATTATTGCGTTTTTCAGTCTTCGCCTTTCTTCCTGAATAGAGGAGGAAGGAGGGAGCGACCAGTCAGATCCGTGAAAACGACACTTGGTAAGACTTCAAAACCACAGCCGCGTAACTCACATACACACAGTTCACTCTTCTAAGTACACCACCAGCAACTCTTAATGTACTGAAATGTGTGTGACCATCGCCACTACTGACGTTTAGACCACGCCCACCACCCACGCCCCAACACCAGGGCACCCATCAGCAGTCGCCCTCTTCCCGCCCGCCCGCCTCTCACGGCCCTGGTGGCCGCCTGAATTTCCCGTCTGTATGAAACTGCCTATCTGCCACTTCCTGGACTGGAATCTCAGACTGTGGGGCTTTTTATGTTGGCTCTTTTCACTTAGTGTGACATTTTTAAGGTTCACCCCCAGTGTATCACACATCAGGGTCACGTCCTTGTTTCAAAGGGGGAAAACTCCAATTTTTATTGGCTCGAGACCGTCCTCAGTGACCTAGAGAAAATATGTCCTCTTCACCATCATTTAAACACTGCAGGTGCACGTCCGAGAGGCGCACTGCATGCCGGCCCAGGAGACCCTTCACGTGCAGCTGGACAAGAGCCTGCCGGGTGAGAACTGCGCTTGTTTTAAAGATGCAGAAACTGAGGTTTCCATAAAGATTAAACTGCTGAAAAATTAAGAGAGTCGGGATTCAGACAGGGTGGCACTGAGATGGGCACCCGTCCCCTGCGTGGCACTGCTGCACGCCCTCTGCGAGGGCCTCCTAGCCCGCAGACTGCCGTCTGCCCGTCTCTCCTACACTGGCATCAGGACAAAGGCCTCCCTGTAAACTCCAACAAACCCAGGAGACGTTCCAGGCTCCATATACGCACACAAACAGACACGTATTCCACCACACTGAACACACACACCTCTCTGCGACACAGGACAGCCCAGATTACTAAGCGGGGTGGGAAATGCTTATCTACGGACTATCACAAGCCTGTCTTTACCTCTCTCTTTCTTCTTTCTTCCTGAGTACGATGTAAGAGAGAAGCCTTTTCCTCCTAAACACAAAGAAAGACAAAAATTATAGAACGTTTTGACCCAAAGAGGCTTCTACAGATCATCCAGTCAAACGACCTGACTCAGTGAGAAGCCTGACGCACGACAGGTTAAATGGCCCGAGGCCACAGACCCGCTCGAAGTTAGTGCTGCAGGAGATTTCTAAGAACGAAACCAATTTCTTCACACAGTGAGCTCCTCTGGAACTCCGCCCCCCTCCCACTCTCACTGAAAAGCAACGGGGAAAATATTCTTAGGTAAGATTTAAAAAACAAAAATCACTTTCTTTATTGTTACCAAATTAAATTTCCCCCCCCAAATTTATGTATTTTCTTCATAAGTAAAACTAAATTTTGAACAAAGTTACTTGGTATGTAGAAGAAACTAAATAATAAATGGGAAAGTTAAACATTTCAAATAAAGTAAAAATACCCTCCCATCCCCAGAAGGGTTCCAGACTAGAGTATCAACATTTTATTTTTGTAAATTTAATCCAAAATAAAAATCAAAGGTCCAAGGCATTATAAGTGAATCATTAGAAAAATTAATAAAGCTGAACTTCTTAACAAAACCATACACCCCATCGGAAGACTGTTGGAAAGCAAGTAATTACCAATTTAAAATTACACACTGATACGTGAGCGCACACAATGCTGAAAATGCAAAGTTGCTCACTGACAAAACGTAAAGTCAAAGAAATAAAACCTCCAGATATTTTCCATTGTAGAAAATTTCATTTCTTAAATTTCAAATAAAAAGCCTTTATCTACCACATGTCCAAAGTCAGGAAATACTTTGTTTTGAACTTTAATTAATTAAGAGGAGGGGGGGAATGGAAAGTCTAAAGTAAAAAGTACAGTCACGATGTCCAGGACTATGGAAAGCTTACAGATAAAATGGTCCTATTTCTGGTCATTATCTTTATTTATGAATAGAACTGGATGGCATGTTTATATCAATAACAGTTGCAATATTTTAAAAATCAAAATAGGTACTAAGTATCAAGAAGCTAACAGGGCTCTAACGGAATATTGGACTTTCTCGGAATTTGAGCTGGAAGCCCATGGTCCATAACATAAGCCTAGTAAAGTCGGAGCAGAAGCTGGTGGGAGTGGGACACAAATTGGGAAAAGCAACCACGAGCTGCACCTTTGTGCAGTAACGAGGGCAGAGGGTGGACAGTCGGAGGACCACCTACCTCAATGCCCCTGGAGAGGGAGGGAGGGGCAGTGATGGGGACCCCCAGGCCTGGAGACCCCCTGCTCCTCTGCCTACACCCGTGCCTCACAGACGTCTCTTTGCCACCTCCACAAGGTCTACCAAGCCTCTACCATCTGTACCACTACCTACTTAATATTAGTCTTTAAACTGACTTTCGAAACTTTTATTTTGAATTTTGACAAAGAAAATTTGCAAAATGATCCATGAGTTCCCTAACCCCTTTTCTCTTTTACCCATTCCCCCCATAACTGAAGTGAAATTAGCAAGAACAGGAAATTAACATTGGTACAGAATTACTAACCACACTACAGACTTTATTAGACATCCACCAATTTCCACTGATGATTTTACTTGTTCTAGGATCCCATCCAGATCCTCACTGGACTTAATTACTATTTCTCCTTAATTCACACCAATCTGGAACAGTTCCTCCATCTTTGTCTCTCATATCTTGGACTCTGTCCCTCGATTTGGGTTTTTCTGATATTCTCACAATTAGAGGTTATGCGATAATGACAATACTGGATTTTAATCATAGAATGAAACATATATCCATGCCTCCAGTTACACAAACAATCAGATCCATAAACAAAAGAGCCCAGCAAGGCCTGGCTCAGTGGCGGAGCCTGGACCTAGGATCCGGGAGACTGCGGTTCCATTCTGGCTCCATTCCCAGTGAGGGCACAAGCCTGGGTTGCAGGCTCCATCCCCAGTCGGGGGCGTGCAGGAGACAGCCAATCAATGA